GTGAATGAATGGAAAGCCAAGTTCTCTATAAACTTTCATTAAAATCTCAATTTAAAAAAAGATGAGTTATAACTAGTGGGGAGTGAGGACTAGCAAATTCCTTTAATTTAATAGTGAGGAACTAGAAAGAACTTTACAGACTAGAAAAATGAAGATGACCATTTTAGGATAAAAAGTAATAGCAGTAAATGTAATGGTACCAGGATATAATGTGTTCTAGAAAGTCAGTGAGTGAAGTTCGAGAAAACCAACAGCTGACTGGACAGGAAAGGTGTATTTTGAGTTGCAGTGTGATGTGGCTGCTACCACAGTAATCTGTCGTGTAAATAGGAATTGCTTGCTTGGCCTGTGTCCCCAAGAGAACCCATAAATCGTGAATGTTCCAGCATCCAGAGCAAAGTCAGCAAAGCCCTGAGTTGCTTTTCCTGAGAGATGGTCAGTTGTGGGTTGGGCATATACAAGTGAGAATTCAGACACAGAATGGGTGGTTGGATTAGGTGATGTTTAGAATCTTCCAGTCCTGGGATTGTGGGCCTTGCAAAGACTCTAGAAATAACCCCTCTTGAAGCAGACACATGCAGATTTTAAATCAAGTAGGTATCTTACACAATATTGTTTCCTAATTTAGCTTTTTATAATATAGTGTCATAATCAGTCAAGAATCCTAACAAATGTACTGATCTCTGACCTCTTATGACCTTTAAAATAATGATTAGCAACATAAGAAACACATGGAAGTTAAATCACAATCCAAGATTAGCTGCTAGTGAAGTAAATTCTTGAGCTAATCTGCGCTTGGCAGAAGTAGAATAATCTTAAAACCTTTCTCGGTTCCTTTTAATGTAGAATTCCACATGGACTCCTTCCCTCCTTCCACTGTAAACCCCGTTGTTCTGAGAGGCACTAGGAGGTGGCCCAGCTGAAGCATTTTGTGATCTCTACAGAGCTCCTGGACAGGGTGTTTAGGCTCCTTCCTGGAAAATAGTACAAGGTATAATTTATTCTCTTTGGAAGATTACATATTTAGAAAAAATGAAATGACTTCAAAACAACTTACATAAAAAATAAGATAATTATACAACTTTGATATTCTTTTCTTTTCTACTGATTTATTTCGAAAGTTTGAATACATTGTTTTTCACACAAGATCCTTCCCATTTTCTTCACACATACACACGCACCTGACCCCCCATCGAATTGGACAACCCTATGATTAACACCTCCCCCATCCTCACCTCTCTGCTTCCACCCTCCTTCCCCTTGGAGCCCCATACTCATTCTACAGTAATGGTTCTATACAGGATTGTGGGCCTGAATTAGTTCACCCAGCATACTGCTTTCTAGTCCTTCCCGGGTTAGGTAGTAATTTACAAAATCATTGCTCCTGTGTGCTGTGTATGAACGTTGTATGAGTGTACCACACTTCTCAGTCCATTCGTTTGTGGTTCGATATCTGGCTTATTTCCATGTTCTTGTGGTTCTTGCAATGGTGAATAAATACAATATAACAAAGCCCCTGTATGATAAATGTAAAGTTTATATCATTATATATTTAGGCCTAGGGGCAAGAAGCTGCCCTGCAGTCCCGAGGCATGTGGTTCGAGGCCACCAGCTACTCCACAGGAACAGCTCCTCTTGTGTCATTAACTGCGTCTGAAAACCACCAGAGGGGCCGCTCCTACTTGAGGGTACACAACAGCAACATGTACCTACATGTATGATACGTACATACCAGTTACATTGGAAGAAAAGAGTTTTTTAAGAGCAGAGTGAAACTTCTTAAGGTATTTTTCCTTAAAAGAAGTAGGTGAAGTGAAGCCACACAGCCTGGGACATGGTGACAAGTATTTCGGATTGAAGTCACATGTACGGCAATCTAATTAATGTGTGTGGTAGGTGAGAGCTGTGGTTTCAAAAACAGACTTCATCAAAGGAAGTGTTAGATCCCCAAATCTTGACTCATTATTGTTCTGTAGACATTATAGTACTGTATGGATAATCACAGTTATCAACTGTTCCAATTATGTAGGGCCATAGGACAACAATATTAAACCAAAATCCATCCCAAAGCCCATTTTCAGTGTCCAGAGAGGAGTCTGAAGCTCAGTGGTTGGAGGCAGGAGGACAGCAGAGGGTGGAGCTTGGAGAGGGCAGTCACTGTGAAGTGGTCCCTCAGGTGAGGGGTCAGCGCTAATCTCCTTTGCACACCGGAGATGGGGTGGAGGCAGCCTGTAGTTCTAGATTAGAGCAGAGGCCAGACGTTATAATAAGAGGTGGGGCAGCTCTGTAGAAAGAGTCCCGAAAAGGCAGGAGAGGACCGGCACTGAATGTGGATGTTTCACTCAAGGAGAGACTACGGGGCATGTGCACTTCGTGTTGAGGTGCTTGCAGCAGAGCAGACACCCCCCAGCTCAGTGTCCACGTCCCGTTTCATGACATCATCACGTGCAGCCACTCACAGCCTTTTCTCCTGAGTTGTGGTTCTCTCATTAACTTGAATCCACTGCTCTTTAAGGCCCCTGTTTAATCTTTCTAGTTATTTCTGTCACTTTGATCCCATATGGGAAGAAAGAAAAACCAAGTTTACTGCTCGCGAGTCACGTCTGACTTAACCCTCCATCACATTTCTGAGACTATAAAATCTTTATAGGACGCAACTACCCATCTTTTTTCCCTGTGGAGCAACTGGTGGATTTGAACTGCTGTCCTTTCAGTTAGCAGTCTGATATTTTGCACACTGCAATACCAGGACTCCTTTTGATCTCATACAGATAGTTCTTAAAGGAGCCTGATGCTCAGGGCAGGTTTTTGTGTGTTTCTGGTTTTTGTGGGGTTTTGGTTGGGTTGGTTGGTTGTTAGCTCTGGTTACATAGTATGTATGGTAACCCAGAGGCCACATGTGCTCCTGGCAGTTCGAGTCCCCCAGCAGCTCCAGGTGAAAAAGGTAGACAGTAATCTTCTGTGAAATTAAGCTGGTTCTGACTTGACAATGAGTGGGATAAGTAAGTTAAGCTGCACTGTTTGGTTTTCAGATGATGTCAGGGCATATTTTTGGTTTAAGGTTGAACGTTCTCAAGGCAGCAGTTCCGGGAGTCCACTCGTCTTTCACAGTCTGAGTCCATGCTTGGCTTTTTAGTGGGTGAGTCTTGAGTCACGTGCCAGTGGAGAGGAGCCAGTAAAACAGAGGTTGAAAACATGAGCCGATGTCTAAAAGGCTTCTCTTCAGTAAGGAGCGACAGGATGGTCAGATCCAAGAATGTGAGGAGACATTCGCAGAGGAGCTTTCTGGAGACAATGGCCTCCATAAAAGATCAGAGGTCATCTGCTGAGGAGAAGAGGGGCAAGTCTGAGGTCTGTAAAAAGCGACGGGTTTAAAATAGAGCGTGGAGAGCAAGGTCAGGGTAACCTGCGAAGATGGCTGTGTGGTGCTGAGGACCCGTCATGACTGCATCATCCCCACTCCCAGAATCTGGCAGCCTCTGTGACTGAAGCCCACTCAGACAACAGGGTCCCCATCTGCTCTCTCGGGCACAGGAGACCTAGAGCCCTGGAGTGAAGCCGATTGCCCCCTTAGGGGGAGATGTCCCTGAAGAGAAAATGAAATGCTTTCCAGTCATTAGGAAGAGCATGTCATTGCTGTTCCCAGGGTATTTGCACTCTGGCTGGATGAAGCCAAAAAAGCTCGTGAGTGTCACAAGCACACCCCCTATCTTAAGGATGATTTCTACCAATCTAAAGGGGTGAGAAGCCACCTTACCCTGGAAGATTTCATAGATGAGCACGTATTTGGTTAAGACTTGGAGACTGTAGCAGCTCTCAGAAAGGAGGGAGGGTGCCGGTTTTGTGTCTGAGGGGGAACACATGAGAGAGCATGTCTGAGCTGGCTGGCTGACGGGACTCCCGGCATCTCTGTGGGCTGTTGCTCCGTGGGCTGTTGCTCCGTGAGCTGCCCACACACAAGGTTAAGTGAGGAGATAAATGCAAGCATTTTGCCATGTCTAATTCTGTTCACTCTTGTACTCATTTTTCTAGAATGTGAGTGATGTGATAATACTTAACAAGGAAAGTGGCAGATAGAGCACTCAGGGTGGTATGGTTTCCAAGGGAGTAGGTTTCACTCTCTCTTCTCATGCTGCCTAAGCCACTAAAAAGTTTAAACTCTCGCATTTTTGACCTTTAACTTGTTAAGCAGAAATTGTTCTCTTCTATCTGGAGACTAGAGATAATGTGTGTATCATTGCACATATCAGCTGTTTGACAAAAGGTTGTAGTGGTGGCCACTGAACCCTCAGCAAAGGAAGGCATGTTCTGGAAGGCTTCAGTTCATTTCTAGGATTTCGCAGCCCCATCCCAAGGTCTTCTGCTGTGTTTCTAGATCTTAGCTCATCTCCTTCTGAGCACCTTTCATGCTAAGGATTTTAGTTTTGTACCGGACAATCTTAACCCTCGTGCCCTCACCCTGCTAATCAGGAGGCACATGTCTGACTGTGTTCACCCTGGTGCCCCCACCTAGCTCAGTGCCTGGCACATCCTTGCCCCCCAGTTCTGGTGCACGCTTCCGGAGACCCATCACCTTGGGATGTTTAGTGGCCAACTTTGTCAAAGCAGTGATGCTCCAGAGATTGAATGTACTTCACAGCAGTCCTGTGTGGCCACATCTTGAAACCCTGATGGCACGCTGGTTAAGCACCCAGCAGCTAACTTCCCAGAGAGACGATGATGGCCTTGGGACCCCCTTGGGACAGTTCTCGGGCCTGTGGGTCGCTGGGTTGGAATCTGCTCTGCAGCACACGTGCTCTCTGTAGTCACGGGGTGAGGAGCACATTGTTCCACCCTGACTTGACTCACCATCATACTACGTGTGAACTCTTGTGCGGATTTCTGTTTCTAGCATGCAGTGAAGGCTGCCCGGCTTTAAGAAAGTGAAAAATGTCAGGCAGTGGACCTGGTCTACAGCCTGTACACCTACCAGCGTAACCACTGCTTGCTTTCTTCCTAAGGGCGAAGATGTCAACCGGACGCTGGACGGTGGGAGGAAGCCGCTTCACTATGCAGCCGACTGTGGGCAGCTTGAGATCCTGGAGTTTCTGCTTCTGAAAGGAGCAGACATTAATGTAGGTTGAGAGCATTGTGTCTAGAACAACAACAAAATTGGTCTTGGTGTTTGGAGTAACAATTTTCTACAGATCTGTGACTTAATTTCCTTTGGAATCCTCATCTTAAATAATAGTCTGAAATTCTGTCACATTTCTTGTTATTTACAAGTACATGGCTCAGGCTTTAAATTTGGCACGATGCCATGTAATTGTGTACTTGAAGAGCTAGTGACTCTGATACACTCTGTCTGCATGTATTGAAGCTGCAGGTTACGGTCCCCAGCTGTTGCTTTGCATGATCTAAGGCAATCTAGGCATAGGAGTGTGCCCCGTCTGCAGGTGCCAGGTCTTCCAGCCCCCCACTCGAGCCTGGGGCTCCACCCTCATCATCCTCGCCTGGGTTGTTGGATGCCAGGCAGCAGGGGTGAGGTCAGCTGTCCTCTCCCCACTTGAGCCATTTGTAGCTTCCACGCATCAGCCCTTTGAGAACATGTTCACATAACCATGACGGCAAGGGAAACAGACCTTGATTTGGGGCACACTCTCTCACCCGACCTCATGGTGACAATGATTTTTCTCATTCCCTGGACTGTGTTCTCCTCAGTCCCCTTCCTGGACCTCACTGGCATTTTTACAGTAGGGACTCCAGGTGCAGAGAGGTGAGACACTTCATCACTGCATACACAAAGCCAGGCCCCAAGCTGCAGCCCACACCTACCTGCCACCACCCCCTCCACCTCACCACTGTTCCAAGGAACTGCTGGTGGACTGGCCTGCGGTCACTCTCTCTGATTACAAACTTGTAGCTGTGAGTGATTATTTCTAGAAAGGTGAATAGGTGAACCTGATTTTGGAATCTTGAGAATGAGTGTTATATAGATGAGGGTGTTTTACTTTCTCTTTTGTTTCCTAGGCTCCAGATAAGCATCATATCACTCCACTTCTGTCTGCTGTCTATGAGGGCCACGTTTCCTGTGTGAAACTGCTTCTGTCAAAGGTGAGGTCAAGTGCCCATTTTTACTGGCTTTTCATTACCACATAACTGCTTAAGCTAAGCATATAGTTATTCATTGACTTAGGTCTTTTGTGGCAGCAGGGCAGGAAGCTAGAAGAGAGGTGGTATACAGGTCTGCAACAGTATTCTCAACATCTCCAGTCCATGAAGAGGGTGGGTAAGGAGCTCGGCCTAAAATGGGAATCTTCGCTGAGAACATCTTGCTATGAAATTAAGTTAGCTGAGCTCAGTGGCCCTGGTGGTCTGGACCGTGTCGTCATGGACAAGGAATGCTGCTTTGTAACTTGTCCGCATCGTGATCTGTCTTGCATGAGGGTATTAGAGACGTCCAAGACCCCCGGGTTCTTGATAGAAATGAGCGAGTAGTGAACATGGAGCCCGCCAGTGTGTCTGTGCTTACCGTTTCAAGCTCTTTGGAGTTCAGAATCCAGCCTGACGCATTTATCAAGCAGTTGCAGCCGGGACCTGTAGGTGTTAAAATGGGCCACCAGAGCACCTCATTGCAAGACTAGACCCTGCAAAGTGGTCACAACATGCATTGAGATTTAGAAATTCGTTTAAAAGGCTTAAAAGAGGCAAAGAGGAAGTAGAAGAAATCATGTGAGGAAATGTACACAAAGCTTCTGCCACAGTGCCAGCTGTACCCGTCAGCTCAGGGTTAACTTCAGCCGGATGGGGAGACGAGAGCACACGTATCTCATTGTGAGCGGAAGTTCTGAACCAGTTCATTCAGCTCCTCTATAGGTGGGGGAGCCCGGGTGGTTTAGTGGTAAGGAATTGTACGACCAAAACACAAAAGTCCAGAGTTCAAATCTCCCTGATGCACCACAGAAGGCAGGCGGACGGGCTACTCCTTTGCAATTGATACGTTGCTGCACACTTTTTAAACTGACCGCCGTGCTTAGAAACACATTTGCCGTCATTTGCAGCAACGTGTTAACTGCCTCTGAAAACCCACTAGAGGGTTACCTATATGGGTGGGATCCAACTCAGCGACAGCAAAAAGGGATTTTTTTTAACCCTTTGTTTATTTTTAAAAGCTAATTAGTGACTCTTTTAGAAGTGTGTATGTGTTTTAATTCCACACTGAAATACTTTTGTGACCTGGGAGTGGGGTCCACCCACTTTCCTGTCAGCAAGTCTTTCTCCTTATTGTCCAGCCCTCCCCCATACCCATGACAAGACTCAAAGAATCTCAGAAAACTACTGGATTCTTTTTTATCATGGGGAAATATTTTTGAAAACTGGTTTGCAAGTCCTGGTTTGTAATTCGTCAGCAATTGATATGATTTCCATATTGTCTTAATATGGTTTCAGATCCTTGGTGTTGCAGGTGATGAGCCCCCCTCCACAGACGAGGCCAGCGCCTGAGTCCTGTGTGTCTCTAGGGGCCCTTGCTCCGCTTGCAGCTTCTGGCTCAAAGCTCCTCCTCACTCATGTCGCTTAGATGAGTTTCCTTCCCAGTGCTCCCTGAAATACTTCCGTACATTGGTCTCATTGGTGCTGATTAGCTGTGGACATACCTGAAATCATTGCTGTGGCTAATAATTAAGCCAGCACAGCCTTCTCCGGGATCTGGACTTGGAGCCAGGCTTCGTGTTTCTCACAGGAGGGGAGGAGCTGAGTTCTCCACCAAGAAGTTAGTGCCGTGGGCAGAGGAGCAGGCCGAGGGGAGCAACCCTGCAGGACAGAGAGATACCAGCTGTTTCTGGCGAGGTGGGCTGCTTTGTTGCATATTCAGTATTTGTTCTGGCTGTCGGTTTAAAGTTCTTCATCTTGGCCCTTCTTTCTTAATGTGTGCCTGTATTGCTAGAAATTTCTCACCAGCAAGTGCTACCTGAAGAGAAAATCGTGTGTAAATCATTTGATTGTAGCACACACCTGCCTCTGACAACAGACACAGATAACGGTGGTGTTAAGCATGTTGACATGAAGTCGGTAATAAGTGGAATTAACTAAGGCACCGTTGACCTTTATTTGAGATACAAGTTATGTTTTTACATCAAGATACAGCTAGTGTATCTGAGAATAATTAATATCTGTAAAAGACCATGTCAGATTAGTGAATCATTTCAGACTGCAGGGTTTTATAACAGAAAGTTTAAACTCTTAAAAGTTGTAATTTGGAAGATGAAGGGTATGCGTGTATCTTGTCTGTCTACAAAACATTTTCCCCTTAAAAAATTTTATAGCTCAAGGTAAAAACTAGTATCATTATTATAAAGAAGTGACTTTTGTCAGTGTTTTCTTCAACTTTCAGGATTTCTCAAAACCTGGTGAGCCTTGACTCTTCTTTTGGTCTACTTTCCTCTTTAAAACCTGTGATGGGTGAAGTTGTTTGCTGTCCCCAGCCCCGCTGTTCTTCACATATGTAGACTGTCCCTGGGTTAGGAACATCCAGCTTACAGTTGTTGCTGCTGTTAATCCCTGTCCATTCCACCCCAGCTCAGAGCAGAGCTGCCACGTAGAGTTCGGCAGGCGCTGCATCTTCACGGGAGCAGGCTGCCATCTCTCTCCCACAGGGTAACTGATGGGTTGGAACTGCCACCTTTTAGTTGGCAGCTGAGCACTTCTCTGCTATATCACCAGGGCCCCTGGATAACTTAGGCTTGCCTTTTAGGAAAATTTATTCTCACTTGGAAATGATTGAACCGACAACCCCTGTTCACAACAAATTCCTTATCACTATTGTCTTCACTTGTTGTCTGAGCAGCCTTTAAATCTTTGAAAAGGCTTGCACTATTTTAAAGTAAACTAGAGTGGTATGTCCGTGACCCACATTATATTCTGTGTCTTTTTAAAGATAGTACGGTGTGTGTATCTGCCCATCTCTCTTTATAAAGATGGAGGCTCTGCATGCCTGCGTAGTGCGCGTGTCCTTCAGCATCTTTTCTTACTCTTACACATAATGGCCATTGTCAGCTCATGTGCTGAGACTTCTCACACTCGTTGCATACACTGCTGGTTTCAGAGCTGCCCTGAGCTGTAGCTAGGAATGGATCTTCTTTCTGCTGCTTGGCAGCTCTGTGGCTTTGAGCAGGTGACTTGGACAGCTCTGTCCAAGTATTCCTTCCGTGTCATGCTTATCACAGATCGGGTGACAATGGGACATACAATTTACATGTGAAAATAAGAAACACTAGCTCATTTGATCATCAGAGTAATCCTATGAACAGGTACACTCCCATTTTACTGTTAGGGAACCAAGGCACAAAGAGGTGGGTAAGTTGCCCACGATGCCCCAGGTGGTAAAAGTAGGAGGTGGATGGCAAGCTTGGAGAGCTTCCGTCCAGAGCTGTGCTGGAAGCACTCTGGTCCCAGTGGGACGAGCGAGAGGCTGTGTGCACCTCATCCAGGCACAATAGCCTTGAGGCAAGACTGCTTGGCCAGATGCTGTGATTTGACATACTTCTCAAACCAAGATGTGCTTCAGGAGGAAGAATTTCCTGAGGAATTGGCTTTACCGACCCACACTTTTCCTCTGAAACTTAGAGAGTGCGGTTCAGAGGGGGAAGTAGAGTCTGCTATAAATGGTGTGGGAAGGAGCGGAAAAGTAAAGGAGGATCCGTGCCTCGCTCCCCACTCAGAAACCGTCCAGGACGCACCAGAGGCCTGAGTGTCCTAGCCGGAACCCTGGTTTGCTCGGCAGACGGTAACACGGCCAGTGCCTTCAGGCCTCGCTTTAAAGACTATGAGCTAGAACAGGAACGCAAACAGCAAAAGAAATGAAACCACATGAAAGCTCATTTTAGCCATTACTGTAAAAATAGAGGGATCCCTAGTAAAATGTGTATAGGGATCATGGGAGGAAGGGCTGGGAGCAGAGAGGTGAGGATGAGTGTGGGTGAATTCACAGAGTTAAACTATTTGGTGAGTAGAGGGAGGGGTGAAAGAAATAGGAAAGATCCAGTGAGGACCCGAAAAGGATGGGTAATGGCGAGAATTGATATTACAGACCTAAAGAATGGTCATGATCATATGATCAGTGTGAAGAATAGTGTGAAACACAGTGTATACAGACTTTGTAAGCATACCCATGTAAAATTTAAAAAAAAAGGGAAAACTTCTTTGAAAACTCTGTATCTTATAAACTAATAAGCAAAGTGTGTATAAAACCTCGATGAGTTAGCAGTGTAACAAGCCAGTCAGAAAATTGGCAAGGGATTTGACATTTCACAAAAGAGGGCATCCACGTGACTGCCGAACATGAAAAGCTGCTTGATGTGATCAGCCGTCAGAGATCAGATCAAAACCACATTTCACTCCCACTCAGATAGCTAATACTTAAATAAAAACTGCTGGCAGGGATGGAGGGAAATGGTTGTCCAGTGCCAGCGAAAATGTAAAATACTACAGCTCTTGTGGGAAACATTATGATGTTTCCTCTGTTGTTGTCATGTGCCCTCATAGTGACCCTGTGTACAGCAGGTCTGAATCCTGCTTTATCCTGAGTTAACGTTATTATCTGTGACACACCTACCCCCATTACCCCAGTCACTGAGTCAGTCCATCTCATCCAGGGTCTTCCTCTCTTGTGCTGTCCCTCCACTCTTCCAAGCATGATGTCCTTCTCCAAGGATTGGTCCCTCTTTGCAGTGTGCCCAAAGTATGTCAAAGCTTCCGAATCCTTGACTCCAAGGAGCAGCCTGGTTTCACCCTCTCCAGGACAAACCTGTTTGCTCTCCTAGCAGTTCATGGTATATTCAGTACTCCTCTCCAGCACCACAGCTTTAAGACCTCCGTTCTCCTTCTGTCATCCCTAGTCCTTGTCCAGCTTTCTGATGCATAGCACATAATTGTGAAGACCATGGCCTGTATCAGGCACACCTTAGTCTCCAGACTGACATTGTTGCTCTTCAGTATTCTGGAGATGTCCCTAACAGCAGGTTTTTCCAGTGCAGTTGGTCTTGATTTCCTGCCTGCTGGTACCAAGAGTGTTGATTGTGGAACTAAGCAAACTAAAGTCATTAAAAATCTCAATC